AATTTGGACATTTTCACTTTGGGGTGTACTCACTTTTGTGGCCAGTGGTTTAGACATTAATGGCTGTGTGTTGAGTTATTTTGAGGGGACAGCAAATTTACACTGTTATACAAGCTGTACACTCACTACTTTACATTGTAGCAAAGTGTCATTTCTTCAGTGTTGTCACATGAAAAGATATAATAAAATATTTACAAAAATGTGAGGGGTGTACTCACTTTTGTGAGATACTGTATATATAGCTTTATTTAAGTATACTGTTTGTATGCCGATGAATATATTTCCATTTGCAAGTTGGAGTTAATTCAGTGTGCAGTGATATGGAAATCTGTAAGGTTTCATTAAATTTATAACAATTTGGTGTGATGATGAACAAATGTGTATCACTACCACAGTTATATGAGGCATATAAATCATGGAGTTTAAAACTGGTCATATCCCCCACATGATCATCTAAGCAGTTTAATTGTTATCCCATAATACTTGTACAAGATGCATCATACATAATACAAAATATCTTGAGTTCCCTATTATGCAGGCCACAGGCCAACTGTGGCAAAAAACAAAAAACTCAATTTGATGTTGAATAATAGAGAGGGGAAAAAAGCTTGTGATAAAACAGGCTACAACAAGGGACAGTTCTCATTATTATTATTATTATTTAACAGCATTTTTTTTAATTGAGAGAAAGAAAGAAAGAAAGGAAGAAAGTGTTCTCATAAGAAAGACCCACAACTGGCAAATTAAGGTAAGAGAAATTTACAGTGATAGAATGCAGGCATCTATGTGACAACGCAATTTCATGACATAGTTAAGAGCTTGCCTAGGTCTAATCTTCTACTCACTCAAAAGTATCTACTCTTTATTTACAAACAGTGTACATACTTCTAGGGCATAATGTAAAGTAGCTAAAGCCTACTAAAGACAGTCACTAAATTTCTCTAATGAATGTGCTAATTAGCATATTTAATATGTCATTGTAATTGCACAGAAATATTCTATCCCAGTATATATATATATATATATATATATATATATATATATACACACATGCACGCACACACAGTCAAACCAAAATTTCAGACACCTTCAACATTTCTCACATTATCACATTTATTCGCTATAGTTTAGAAAATGGTAATAAAATATGACAAGAACTCAGAGTTAAACTGTGTCAGAAAATATTCATCTTGATAATGTCAGATAACTTTGATAGAAAGGTATGTAATTAATTACAATCCACAAAAAATTATTCAGCTGTTCAATTTAAGTACACAATTAGATAATACCAACTTAGGTCAACCAACCAAGCAATGCTTAGTTTTGTTCAGTCTGTTGTGTAAAAAGGTCGCATTAGCATAAGAAAAAACACTTAAGATAAAACATGGTCAGGTCAAAGTTTCTGAATAATTTTTGGTCCTACATTTTTTCAATTTTTCTGGTACTCCACTGCATGAAGACTTTTTGGGTATAATATGTCACAGTTCACTTTATTTTGCTATCCTCACTTACATAAATGAACTATAATGTCCTACACCCACTAGTAAAAAAAAATCAAAGATTATATCTGGTGTCTGAATAATTTTTGGTTTGAGGTACTGTATATGGAGGCCAGCCCTCCATGTAATCTTCTGAGATTGCTAAGATTGTAATGGAGATACTAGGAATGTTCCTCCCATTTGTGCAATGCAGATACCCCAGATTCTGCAAATCAATAATAATTTTAAAAAAAAACGACGCACTGGGATTGAATAAACTTGTTTTCACTGTTTAATGTTGTCCATGTGAGTGTGGTGGATGATGATGGAGCCGGTCCACCTGATGCATCTCCTGTATCATCACTAGATGTCTCCCTGTGTCTTCCAAATGCGCCTTCTGCCTCACAAGCTACAGGGGTTGCACAGAGCACTGTAACAATTATGTTCTGTTTTAATTTCTTTTTCATTGTGTTCAGTTCATATTTTGTCTGCCTTAGTTATCTAGTTGGTCACTTTTGTTTCTTTGTTTTCCCACCATTTGTTAATCACCATGGTTACTGAATAATTTGATCACATCTGTTGGTATTCTACATTTATATTACATTTACATTTAATCATTTAGCAGATGCTTTTATCCAAAGTAACATACAAATGCCCGGTTCTTTGTTTTCCCACCATTTGTTAATCACCATGGTTACTGAATAATTTGATCACATCTGTTGGTATTCTACATTTATATTACATTTACATTTAATCATTTAGCAGATGCTTTTATCCAAAGTAACATACAAATGAAGAAAATATAAGTAATTAAGCCAAAAAAAGAGAAACAATATGTAAATTCTGCCCGGTTATTCTAAATCAGTATGTATCAAGGTTCATATATAATATAATATATGTAGCAAGGTTTATATATAATAAATAATAAGAATAAAAAGTAGATAGAATAGAAACAGAATAGAGAGTGCTAGTGTTAGAGAGTCAAGTTTTTTATTTTTTAAATAAAAGAAGACAAGTAGATACAATAGAAATAGAATAAAAATTATTGGTGTTAAAGGGTCAAGTTTTTATAATAAATAAAAAAAAAACAAGCACATAGAAATAGAATTGAGAGATCTAGTGTTAAAGTTCCCATGAAATCAAAATGAACGTTTTTTGGGTGTTAGTATCAATATGTTAGTCTTAAGGTTATCTATAAGGCAGTGTGCTCTAAAACAGTAACAAAATTCTCATTTAGAAGATATAAGCATTCAAAGCTTGCAGTTCGTCACTTCCGCCAAAAAGGCTCAATGATTTTTTTTGACGTCACATCGTACTTCAGCTTCTCATCAAACTTTCTGTCCAATCAAATGCTCTCTAGAATCCGAAGC